CTGTGTCAGTCTGACTGTGGCCCCACCCTCTGAACGCAGCCTAGGTGGGAGTGCTCCACAGTCCTGAGTCCTAATCGATTCTGGAATCACAGTATTTTCCTTTATACAGTGATTTTTCCACCAGTGGGTGGAAACTGATGGCTTGCACCTTATACTAGATCCAGAGCTCTGGAGCAGCTGCATAAAAGCACCTTTGCTGGATTTTTGGCACCTCCCCCATGGAGCTCATCCTAACTGACTCTGCTTGTCCCGCCTCCAAAAACTAAGTAGTGTTTCTTAGTATGAGTATATCACAATTTGTGTACAGTCACCATTTGATGGACATTTGGTGGTTCCAGTTTTGTATTGCTCTGAGTGCTACTATAGAAGTTTTCATACAACTCTTTGTATAAATATATGTTTTCACTTTTCCTGTGTAAATACCTCAGAGTAGAATTCATGAGTCGGATAGTAAGTGCATGTATAGTATTATAGTACCATACTGTTTTCCAAAATAATTGAACTACCATTATATTTGAGATTTATCTATTCATACAAGTCGATTTTTAAATTTTTAACTTTTATTTTGTTATACTGATATACCATCATTTACTTACCAATTTTCCACTGCTTTACTATTAGAAATATTACTGCAGTGAGCATACTTGTAAGTTGTTCACTGTGCACATATACCATGTAAGAGTTTATTTCTAGTGGGTGTCTACAATTGGAATTGCTGGGTTCTGGGATATACTCATCTTCAGTTTAAATAATAGTTGCTAAATTGTTTTATAAATTCACTAGGTATTAAACTTTTAAACCTGTATCAATTATTGCAGGTTTACATTGGTCTCTTCCAGATAGTCTTTATTATAATAGATATGTGGTTCTTTTGTATCAGAGTATTTGCAAAACTTTTTTGAACCTGTATTATAGACCTATTTCTTTCTTTTTTTAAATAGCAGATTCACATGGGACATTGTGTGAATCTGACTGATGAGGCTGTGGAAGCTGTCCTTACTTGCTGCCCTCAGATTTGTATATTATTCTTCCATGGATGTCCCCTGATAACAGGTTAGTCTGATAGAATTCTTGGATTCGAATCCTAGCTTCATCTTTTATTAATTGTGTGACCCTGAGTAAATTATTTATGCTGTTTCTTTATCTGTAAAATGGCTATGATGATAGTAGCTGGCTTAGTCCCGATGATTATATGATAACTCTTTATATGGTACTCTGGTGGCATAGTGGTTACAAATCAGGCTGTGAACTGCAAGATCAGCAGTTCGAAACTACCAGCTGCTCCG